CAGGTCCGCCTGAGCGGGGGCCGCAGCCGCTTTGAGGGGCGGGTCGAGGTGGCCCTGGGGGCTGGGAGCAACAGCACCCCCCCGCGGTGGGGCTTGGTTTGTGGGCAGGGCTGGGGGACCCCGGAGGCCATGGTGGTGTGCCGCCAGCTGGGCCTGGGCTTTGCCAGCCAAGGCTTGCAAGTAGGTCCTTGCGCTTGCCCGCCGGGCCGTGGATGGCTGCTGCTGCTGCTGCTGCTGCTCCTGGCGCTTGGCTGCTGGGGCTGCTGCTGTGGGGGGGGCTACCCTCCTCCTCCTGCTCCCTGGGCCGCTTGCAACCACCCGCGGAGCAGCTGAGGGCTTCTCCCCCTGGTGCCCGAGGAGGGACACGTCCGCCCTGCTCCCTCACCTGGCTGGCTGGCTGGCTGGGGGGCCTGTGGCACGCTCATTCCCTGCAGGGCTTCTCCACAGATCCGGATAGTTGGCGGCCGCACGGTGTTTGAGGGCCGCGTGGAGGTGAAGCAGGCCGGCAGGTGGGGCACGGTTTGCAGCACGGGCTGGAGCACCACAGAAGCCATGGTGGCCTGTCGCCAGCTCGGCCTGGGCTACGCCATGCATGCCGTGACGGTAGGTGGACGGCCGGGGCGGGCCTGTGCCTGTGTGTGTGGGGTCTCATTAGAGGATGATGGGGTGGGATGGGGGGGCAGAGCATGGAGCATGCATGGCCTTGGTGCGGGAGCTGTGCCAAGTCAGCATCTGGCAGCAGGGGAAGTGGGTGCTTGCTGGCTGGTGCCAAAACACGGCTGGCGGGGGAGGGGGGGAGAGGCGTGGGGGACTCCCTCCTTCCCCGCTCAGGCCGTGTGTGGCGTCTCTCCAAGGAAACGTGGTACTGGGATGCCAGCAACGTGACGGAGATGGTGCTGAGTGGCGTGAAGTGCGCCGGGCACGAGATGACACTGAGCCACTGCCAACACCACAACACCGTCAACTGTCAGAAGACGAGCGCTCGCTTTGCGGCTGGGGTCATCTGCTCCGAGAGTGAGCCTTGTGGGGGGGGGAGGGCCAACGGGGTGCATGCGTGCGTGCGTGTCCTGGATTCCCCTCCCGTCTTTGGGTGTTCTCTGTCTCTCTTTGGGGTTTAATGGGGGCATAGCTGGGCTTCTGGGTGCCCCCCTCCATCTCCCCCTCCCCCGGGGGTCCGAAGCCCCTCCGCGTGGGGGCCTCCTGTCCTCTCCCACGTCCCCAACTGTCCCTTCCTCCTTTCCCTTCCTGCAGCTGCCTCAGACCTGCTGCTCCACGCCCCGTTGGTGCAAGAGACGGCGTACATCGAGGACCGCCCTCTGCACATGCTCTACTGTGCTGCAGAGGAGAACTGCTTGTCGAGCAGTGCCCGTAATGCAAACTGGCCCTATGGGCACCGGCGCCTCCTGCGTTTCTCTTCCCAGATCCACAACAACGGCCGGGCAGACTTCCGCCCCAAAGCTGGCCGCCACTCTTGGGTGTGGCACGAATGCCACGGGTAAGGAGCAGCGGAAGCCAGCGGGTGGGTCTCTCTCCCCTGGGCGCCCCAGAGGCTGGAGGAGGCACGGGGAGGGCGGGAGGCCACCCCAGCACCGGAGGGCGGAGGAGGAGGGCCAGCCACAGAGTCCCTCCTCCCCGCCACGTCTCACCCCCCCAGGCACTACCACAGCATGGACATTTTCACCCACTACGACCTCCTCACCCCCAATGGCACCAAGGTGGCAGAGGGACACAAGGCCAGCTTCTGCCTGGAAGACACGGAATGCCAGGAAGGTGGGCGATGCTCTCGGGAGGCCCACGGGGCTTGCTGGGCAGGGGCTGCGCGTGCGGAGGGCCTCGCGGTCTTTCTCAGCCCCTTGCAGACCAGGCGGGTGTCAGGGAGGAGGGGGCGTGTGGGCCCCTCTCATGGGCGGTGAGGCCACAGTGCCACCTGCCTGTGCCCCAGTCTCCTTCCCAGGGCAGGAGCAGAGGGGGAGGCAGCCAGAGGCCATCCCTGACGCCCACCCCCTCCTCCGGCAGACGTGGGCAAGCGCTACGAGTGCGCCAACTTCGGGGAGCAGGGCATCACCGTGGGCTGCTGGGACCTCTACCGGCACGACATCGACTGCCAGTGGATTGACATCACAGACGTCCGGCCCGGGAACTACATTCTGCAGGTCAGCCAGAGCAGAGCAACAGCCCCCCCCTCCCCACCCCACCCCCGGGAGACAGGCCCTGGCTGGCGGAGGGCTGATCTTTCCCCATCCCCAGCAGCAGGATCAGCCTCGAGGCGGCAGGGGCTGGGCTCTGAGTTTGCAGAGGAGAGGAGAGGAGAGGGGGCTCTGTCGCTGAGAGCCGTCAGATGGATCAGAGGGGCAGCTCGCCTAGCTGAGCAGCCCCTTTCCACTCCCCAACCCTCTGCATGGCCAGGGGAGGTGTGGGGGGGGAGTCCAAATGGATGTATCCTAATCAAAGGGAACAAGATAACAAAAAAGCCATCTTAACCTTATTGACATTAATCTTCATATGAAGCCCTTCCTTCTCCTGTCACATCTGTATCTGGCTCTCTCCACTGATATAACTCAAGGCAAACTGTTCCCAGAAACACAGATATCCAGTTCACCCTCCCTCCCTCCCTGCAGGTGACGCGCTCAGTGAGGAGGCCAGCAGGCGCTTTGAACAGTATCCCGGACAGCTGAACAACCAAGTCGTATAGGCCAAGCCATCCAACCGCTCCCGGGCCCCAGGCAGCCCGCTCCTGCACCAGCTGCACCAAGTGGGGCCAGGATGGCACGCTGGCACCGCTCGCTGCCCTCTTCTGGACCCACCAGAGCCCTGGAGGGAGGAGCGTGGGGCCAAGCGGCCACTCTGTGATACGCAGGCCGGCACTGGACTGCAGGGAGAACCCAGCTCTGGTGCCCCTCCCCCAGGGCCCCCATCCACTGGGCCCTCTCCTCACGTGGTGCTCGCCAGCCCCTCCAGGGCCGGGCTGTGTTCCATATAAAGAGTCATTCTTTGCCCCCAACTTGCCTCCTGCCTGGTGATTCAAGAGGAGGTGTGGGGGGGGGGGCGCTCCCTGGCCGGCCATCTGCAGTGAGCGAGGAGGGCAGGACAGAGCCTCGCATCTCCTTGGGCCAGGCCTCCGCAGCCCAAGCCAGGAAAAAGCCATTGAGCGAGGGAGGGAGGGAGGGAGGGGGCCGGCCAGCCCTGAGGTTTCCTGAACACCCAGGCTAACCCTCTCTGTGTTCCCTGGAATGTTTTCTTTCCTGGCTGGGTTTAGCAGGGGAACAAATTGCCCTGCGGAAGGTGAAAGGAGGCCTGGCCGCTGGGAGGGAGAGAGGGAGAGGCGGAGGAGATGCCCAGTGGGAATGCCCCAGGCAGCTGCGGGGACCCCGCGGTCAAGCTGCAGCAGCAGCCACCACCTGGGCCCTCAGGGAGGCCTGCAGCTGCCAGCACTGGAAAAGGGGAAGGGCAAAAAAGGAGAAGAATCTGACCTGCCGACTCCTTAGAAATGCCGACTGAAGACTGGAACTGTTCAACAACAGACAACCAGGGGGCAGATATGAGAAAGGTCTATAAAATGATCTACCCGAGGAGTTTGTGTGTGTGTGGGAGACCTAATTTCTTTCTTCTCTCACACATTCTCTACCTGCTCTTTCCCATGCATAATCTTATAAACCTCAATCATGTCACCCCTCAGTCGTCGTTTCTCCAAGCTAAAGAGCCCTAAGCGCCTTAACCGTTCCTCATAGGGAAAGTGTTCCAACCCTTTTATCATTCGAGTTGCTCTTTTCTGCACTTTTTCCAAAGCTATAATGGTCACAGGCAGCCCTCCAGAGTAAACAGGTCACACCTGAGTGAGTCGGGAGGCTGGCCTGGCCTGATCCAGCAGGGCTCTTTTTGGGTTACCTGGTAATTAAGTGGCAGAATCCACCACCCGCCACAGTGATGGTCAGGAACCACTGCCCCCCTCCATGGGGCAGGTTCACGGACGAAGGGGGGGGCCTTCAGTGGCTGCCAGCCCAGTCGGCAGAAGGAAGCCTCCCTCACCAGCGGTGGCCAACCTCTGCGTGAGGGCCCCAAGGGCCTCCTCCTCCTCCTCCTCCGGGCCTCGGCGCCGTCTTCGTTTGGCCCTCCAGGGGCGGCTGGCCTAGAAGGGCCCCTGGTCTGTTCCCGGGGGGCTCTTGTGAGCTCCTCTGCAGGAAACGGAAGTGGGCGAGAGAGGCTCAGCGCCAGTAGCACAAAGCGGTGGAAGATGCACACCCCTCCTTCCCCAAAGCAAGCACCCGGGTTTCCAGAGGAAGGCAAGTGCTGCCTGTCGACTGTAGTGGCTGGCCAGCGGTCAGCCCCTCATCCTCACATGTGCGGACTGTGCTGTAGGCTGCTCTGGGGAAAGGGAAGCCGAAAGGGGGGGGGGCTTCTCTTTTTCACACACCCCTCCCTCCTGGGACCAGGCAGATCCATAAGCAGCCCTCTGGCATGGCGGCCCCGGTCTCTCAGTGGACAGGGATCAGCTGCCCCCATCTTTCCTCCCCTCCCCTCCCCGTGGGGCAAGCAGAGAAAGGAGTGCCACTCGGCCACTGGCACCCCCAAAGCCCACCGGGAAGCCTCATCAGGTGGGGGTTTTGCAGCCGGCTCGCAGCACCCAAGAGGCTGGAAACACACCGGGAGCCTCCGCCCCGTCAGGACAACAGTGGCGCTCCAGGACAGCCTCTGCCCGGCCTGCGGGGAACCCGGCGCTCTGGCCGCTCCAGAGGGGCTCACAAACAACAAAACGACTCTAAGGAATTTCAACACTGACGACAACTCCAAGCACAAAACGCGTACCCAAGAACACCCGGTGGAGCTGGCAAAATCCAAATGCCACTTTCTTTCCATCTTGGCTTACATCATTTTATTCCTCGTGCAGAACATTATTTTTTTTAAAAAATCTGAACTTAAGCGCTCCTTCCACATGAAGGATCCTCTTGAACTACAGAGCCACGAGGGAGACTTTCTTCACACAGGCAAGGGCAGAGTTTGAACTGACGCATTCCAGTAGTCCGAGAAGGGCGAGGGGCCGCCCGTGGCCTTCCCTGAGGAAAGAGGATCCTCCCCCCCCCCCCCGCCCTGTTAGCTCCTCCTGCTGCTCGGGCCAGACAGCTGCGGCTCTGGGCTCTCCTCTTCCATCAGGCAGTTGAAAGCCACCCAGGTGCAGGCAGGGCGCACCACCCCCAGCACTGACCCCCCCCCTTTCAGAGCAGTCCCCCCCCCCTGCTCTTGTCGGCTCTGACTCTGCAGAGACCAATGCCAGGCACCCTTCCGAGACTCTGTCACAGAGGACCCCCGGGGGTGGGGGGGGGAAGGGCCGGATACCCTGCCCAGGCCCAAATGCACAGAGGACTCCGAGAGGGCGACAGCCTCCTCTTCCGAGGGGGGGGGGCAAAGAGAGGGAGGCCCCCTCGCCGTCCCTGTGCTCGAGACAGACTCCGTGGCGCCTGGGCAAGCTGAAGTTTGCCTCCCACCCTAGTCTGTGACCTCCGGGGTGATGGTCAGACGCAAGGACTCGGAGCCCCGCCGCACCAGCAGGGCCAGGTGGGGCTGCGTCCGCACTGCCTTGTAGACGTCTTCCGCCCGCTGCGAGGGCTGCCCGTTGATCTCCACCAGCACGTCCCCCGCCTCGAGTCCTGCTCTGGGGAGGGAGAACGGGAGGGACATCCTGTCCGACGGGAGAAGGGGAAGGGACCACCGCCCCCCCCCTTACGGTCCGGCAAGAGGAAGCCCCGACACTCACTGGTGAGCTGGAGAGCCAAGGATCACCTTGTGGATGAGGACCCCATGAGGCACGTCAGGGAAGGCCGGGTCCCGCAGCTTCAGCTCAGACAGGATGCTGTGGAAGGCAGGCAGGCAGGCAGGAGACCCCACGGTCAGCAGCGGGGGGGGGGATTGATTACACGCACCTCCTGGGCTGTCCAGGCCACGCCAGCGCCACACTCCTCTCCCCGAAGGTCTTCTGCTCCTGGCAGTGTGACCCGTCATCCCAGCCGCCCACCCCAAAGAAGGGGGCCGATCCAGGGCCGTGTGCCGCCAAGGCTGACTCCGTGCCCCTCCTGACGCCTGCAAGCACCTCCGTGGCCTTCCCCGACCTAACAGTGCCACACAGCTGCCCATTTTGCAGAGGGAGGAAAACAAGCCCCCACCCCACCCCCAGCAAGTGAGCGGCCCAGGGAGATGTCTCAGCGCAGCAGCAGCCGCCGCCTGATGGATGGATGGACGGACAGACGAAGCTGCCTTTCTCCAAGACAGACCGCTGGGGTGCCTCAGGGTCTCCCCGGACCAGCAGAGGTTCCCCAGGGCCTCAGGTCGAGGTCTTCCCCCTCTCCTCTGACTGGAGAGGCTGCTGGGGACTCTCCGCATGCAAAGCAGAGGCCCTCTGGCACTGAGAGCCGCGAGGGAGGCCCCTGCCTGTGTCCCTCCTGCTTGACAGGAAGAAGCTCTGCTGGCCTCCGCCTGAACCCGGAGGGAGCATTTCAGGAGAAGCCCCGGAGGACTTTGTTCCCCCACTCCCTCCCTCTTCTCCCCTTTGCCGCCCACCAAGCAGCCCTGCCTCGCTCTCTTCCTCTCGATTCCCCTCCTCCGGCGTTGTCAAACTCTGCTCTGCTCAGTTTGCCATGGTTGTAGTGGGGGAAGGGAATGCTGAGTGCGTGACCTGTGCTCTCGTGGAACAGTTCCTGAGGACGCCTTCCTCCCAGAGGAGGTCTCTCTCCCCCCACACTAACACTAACTGAGGCTTGGAAGCTTCGGCAATGCCGGTGGCAGACTGCCCGTCCGACCCCCAAGTAGCTACCAAAATCTTAAGCGTAGCCCCACAAGATGCCAGAGGCATTCTTTCCTTTAGAAAGCAAGCATTGCTCGTCCTATTCTACAGTTTCCAACACCCACCCACCCCCTGGGACTTGGAGCTTGCTCCAGCCTGCAGGAAAATACCGCTTATCTGTACGTCGCCTCACTGTGTAAACTCTTCCATCCACACTAAGGACACTGCTCAGCATTAGATATAAAAAGGGTTTTGTGTGGAACAAACTTCAGGAGCTGCCACCTAACAACAGGACAGTGGAGGAGAGGCAGGGAGCTGCCTGCTGCTGCCCCCCTCCCCCCTCCGAGGTTGACCGCTCCCTGCCGGGGGGAAGGGGGCTCCGGCTCACCTGGGGGTCAGGGTCAGCATCATCACGCCAATGTAGCGACGCTTCCCCTCCGTGCGGCCGAACCAGGAGCCTGCGAGAGGAGAGGCCGTCAACAAGGGGGTGCTGCCCATCCTCCCCCCCCGCCCCAAGGGCCAGAGAGAGCCCACGGCCCGGCCCACCCCCTCCAGAAGCAGGAAGCCCAGAGCAGCAACCCGCCTGAAGGCAGTCTGGAGAGTCGACACCCACACAGCACGCAGAGGCAGCACGGGGCGGGGGGGGGGGCTGCCGCCCATCCCCCACCTCCCTCAAGGACAGCCACCCGTTCAGGACGGAGCCCAGGCC